GCGCTGTGCCAATCCGAAGCCAGGAGCCAGGTGCTTCCTCCTGTTCTCCCATGCGAGTGCAGGGCCCAAGGACCTGGGCCATGCTCCACTGCACTCCCGGGCCACAGCAGAGAGCTGGACTGGAAGAGGAGCAACTGGGACAGAATCTGGTGCCCCAACCGGGACTAGAACCCAGGGTGCCGGAGCTGCAGGCGGAGGATTAGCCTAGTGAGCCGCAGCACCGGCCATACATATGTATACTTAACATGTTTGTATATGTATATATTAATATAGTCATCCATATATATATATATATAAATATATATATTCTTCTATGCATGGATATCATATACAAAATTACTTTTAAAAGTTGTTGGTGGCGTCAGCGCTGTGGTGCAGTGGGTTAACGCCCTGGCCTGAAGCGCCAGCATCCCATATGGGCGCCGGTTTGAGACTCGGCTGCTCCACTTCAAATCCAGCTGTCTGCTATGGCCTGGGAAATCAGAAGAAGATGGCCCAACTCCTTGGGCCCCTGCACCCATGTGGGAGACCCAGAGGAAGCTCCTGGCTCATGGCTTCAGATTGGCGCAGCTCCTGCCATTGCGGCCATCTGGGGAGTGAACCAGTGGATGGAAGACCGCTCTCTCTGTCTCTATCTCTCTCTGTAAGTCCTTCTTTCAAATAAATAAAATAAATCTTTAAAAAAAAGTTGGTGGAAATTGTCATTAGAAGATATTTATTTTATTTTCATGCAAAAAAATTCTGATATTTTTAAAATATATTTTTATTTATTTTAATTCTGTTTGAATTGCTGAGAGAAAACGAAAAGCAGAAACAGAGAGAGATCATCCAGCTATTGGTTCACAACCCAAAAATAAGCAACAGGTGCAGCTGGGCTAGACCAAAGTCAGGAGGCTGGAACAATCCAAGTGTCCCACAAGGATAGAAGGGAAAGTGCTTTAGCCATCATCTTTTACCTCTCGGTGTTTATTAATAGCAGCCGGGTTCAGAAGTGCAAGCCAGGACTCAAACCCAGACATTCCAAAACTGAATGCAGTTTTCTAAAGTGATGTGTTAATTGCTGTGCCAAATGACCACCCCTGCAAAGGTGTGTGTGTGTGTGTGTGTGTGTGTGTATGTGTGTGTGTGTATTTTAATGGACTTTTAGAGGACTATTATATGGATTTCAGAATAGTTTACACTAAAATAAGCTTCTCTTTCAATTCCATTTTTAGGAGTGCCTTCAAATATACAACTCTGAATATACCTCTCTTTCCTCTCTCTCTCTCTCTTTCTATATATATATATATATATATATGTATATATGCATATACACATATATGTATGGATGATTTTGACAATGTCAATATCAAAATATATTTGACTCTTCCTAAATAGCCATATACATATATGTATATATGTATATATACACATTTATATGTGTGTATATATGTATATATCTCCATATAACATATATCTGGTTCTTATTGTTCCCCCACACATACATGAAACAAAGTAAGAACATCAGTATCATCACTAATGTTAAATGCTTTCTATTCATTAGTACTATAGTTTGTATAATCAGATGGTAATTTGCTTTATTGTATCAACTTCATGAATAGTGATTATGCCTATCTTTTGCCAACTTGTGCTAGAATTCTTGCATGATGCCTGCTGCACAGTAAGTGCTAAATATTCAAAAACTGTAGTGGAAGAATGGGTTGTTCAGGAATTTACACAAAATTGAGGTTTGTAGCCCTTCTTGCATTTATTTTAAAGATTTATTTGTTTGAAGGCAGTTACAGGCAGGTAGGGACAGAGCTCTTCTGTCTTCTAGTTCACTTCCAAAATGGCCACAGCACCTAGAGCTGGGCCAAGCCAAAGCCAGGAGCTTCATCTGGGTCCCCTACAGGGTGCAAGAGCCCAAGCATCTGGGTTATCCTTTGCTGCTTTCCCATGCACATTAGTAGAGAGCGGGATTGAAAGTGGAGCATCCGGGAATTGAACTGGCTCCAATACGGGATGCGGCACTGCAGGCAGCAGCTTTATCCACTATATCACAATACCTGCCCTCTTTCTTGCAGTTTAAAATCACAGGTTATCGATATCTTTGCTTGAGTCCCACCCGGATGATTAACTCAGAATGCCTGGGAGATGGGCTCAGACAATCCTCCCTAATTGAAGCATTCAGCCCTGGGGGAAGAACCAGTGTCCTAATGCATCCTTGAACCTGTGTTTAGTCTGTTCTGATTGCAGTTGTTGGGCCTAGGAGGGCAGAAGGGCAGGCTGCCAGTACCTTGGACATTATGCTATAGGATGAGACAATGCACCCCAAATCTCTGACTGTGTCTTCTGCTTGGCCTCTCCAAGACACTCTTGCTGGGAGGCAGAAGGGAAGCCAACCTCCTCTCCATATACTCCCAAACTAGGCTTGGGCTCAGGCGCCCAGCCTCCAATGAGCAGGACAATAATCACAAATTTGAGCAGAGATACTTGTAACAGTCAATACCTGTCTATGAAGGGGGATGGGAGGTGTTGCCCAGAAAGTGTTGAGGAGTGACTAAATCCTAATGGCCTTTGCCACCACACAGTTTGAGTAAGATCAAGACAGAACTACCTCTGAGGAGGCCCAGTTGGATGTGGTATTAAAATTTGCCAGCTTGCACTTCTCGCTGAAACAAAAAGTGAGCCTGCCAGTTACAGTCCAGTTCTCTAGCCTGCAGTGAAAACGGTCTCTTGTATGTGCAGGTCTGGTCTTAGCTGAACAAGTGCTGCAAGGCAGGCATTACTGGGCTACTTAGAGATGAAAAACTGAAGTTGAGAGCAGGCAAGTGACTTGTGGATGATCATAGAGTTTCTAAGTGTTAGAGTCAGCATTAGAACTCTGGTTGATTAGTTTCTGAGTGGATTTTCTTCTTACTATACCCCTCTTCAACCTGTACTAGTGAATCGATTTGCAGTGGCTATAAGAATGAACTTTAGATTCAGATGACTTAAGCTTGAATCCAAGCATTTTCCTTTCCTGGTTATGTGATCCTGGGTAAATTATGCAATTTTTCTGAGCCTCGGGAATCCTACCTGAAGGTAGGAGGTGATAATGCTTACTTTATTATACTTTTATAAGGTCTAAATACTACATTATAGGTAAAATACTCAATAACATTTTGGGCATAAAATATTTAGCAAAGTGAGTGCAGGTGTTGTGGCACAGTAGGTTAGGCTGCTGCTTGGGCCATACTCATCTTTCATCAGAGTGCCTGGGATTGAGTCCTGCCCCTGCTTCTGATCCAGTTTCGTGCTAATGAACAGTGTGGGAGGCAGCAGATAATGACTTAAGTACTTGGGTCCCTGCCATTCATGTGGGAAATCTGGATGGAGTTCCTGGATCCTGGCTTCCTTGTGACCCATGCCTGGCTGTTCTGGCATTTTGAGAGTGATCTAACAGATGGAAGATCTCTCTCTCTCTCTCTCTCTCTCTCTCTCTCTGCTTTTCAAATAAATAAATAAACTTAAAAAAACTATTTAGCAAAGGGCAATATAAATAGAAAATTGTTTTTACTTTCCTGTTGGGTCTTTGATTGGCTGTTCTTTTTCTTTTGAAATAACATTCTTAAGCAACTTTTTTTTTTACAAAACCATAACGCTGGTTAACGTTTAAATTACTGATCTCATTATAATAGAAAATCTGTGAAATGTACAAAACAAAATAAACTTGCAAAGAAGAACCACAAATAAGTCTTATTATTAATGGAGAATCAAAATTATAAGTTTGCATCAACAAATTAATTAATTTGGCACTTGAAAACATAATATCAACAACACAACCACCAGTAAAAACTTTGTAGGAAATTTACTAATGTGTTTGGCCTAATATATCAATAGGAAATATAGTTAAGAGTAATTAGTAGAGACAAATTGATGAGTGGATTGTCTGAAACTGCATAGCATTTTTTCTCAACCTAGAAAAGAGTCTATAATATTAATTAGATATTCAGATATCCACAGATACGGAATGTCTTTAAAAATCAAAATTATTCAAATCTCTCTTTGTACTTATCTATCTATGATTTATAAAGTCAACATCCAAATCTGATTAAAAGATAACTGTCTACATTTCCAACTTCATATTTATTCAAAGTACCTCACATCGGGGAGTAGTTAAGAGTATTTACCTGTACTAATCATATATTTTGGAAACAAGCATCAGACACTTAACCACAGTTGCCTGTAGCTGGTAGGATTACAGTTCATTTGGATTTTCTAACCTCTAAACAAAAGTATTTTATATATTTTTAAATCAGAAATGTTAATTTTATATTGAAATTAAAGTTAGTGAGGAAAAGTTTAGTAAATATTCTTGTTACATATATTTTTCATAATAATGTGCCTTAGTAGCAATTTGTGTTACATGAAATGTAGAAATACTTTTTAAAAAGTAATTTTCACAAAGGCCTTTTAGGATGATTAAAAAATGGAATTTTGGGGGAAGGCATTTGGCTTAGTGGTTAAGGCATCAGTTAAGGTACCCATGTCCCACATCAGAGTTCTTGGGTATGCTGTATAGCTCCAGCTCCTGCTAATGCTTGCCTTGGGAGGTGGTGACTCAAGCAAACGGTTTCCTCTCATCCATGTGCAACACTTGGATTCTGTTCCTGGCCCTGGCTTTGAGCCATCTCAATCCTGGTCATTGCAGGCATCTGGGTAGTCAACCAGTTGATGGGAGTGACCAGTTGATTGGAACATTCTCTCTCTCTCTCTCCCTGTGTATGTGTGTGTGTGTGTCTATCTTTCTGCTTCTCAAATAAATAAGTAAGTCAGCAGACACATAACTTTTTAAAAATGAATCCTGTGTTTTGCAGGGACAAAGGTCAGCATAACTTGCTTATCTGCCATACAGTGGGAGTGTAATTACATTAAGTGTTAACCCTTCCACTCAAGGGTCCTGAACTTTGTCACTAGAAGTGCTCTCTTTGTTCCACATAGAAATATGCTGGCTTTTGTGTTTGAGTCCCTTTACTTACCAACTCTCCAGTTGAGCTGCGCTGGACTGTGGGTGCCAGTGAGGTCTGAAGAACTGGAAAAAGCCATCGGTGAGAGCAGAGATGCTAAAGGGTCATCACAGTTGTCTAAAATGATAGGAGAGAGAAAAAAGAGACCCGGTTCTGTTAGCAAGAAATATCCCATGAAGAAAGACGTCATGACTTCTACTACCCTCATTTATCCACCGCCTGCTCTGAACCCATGGAACAAGTATCCCCGCACCTGCTCCTCACAACCACTCTGAAGGACATGCGTAACTTCCTTTCACAGACAGAGAAGATGAAGCTCAGAGATGTCAAGTAGGTTGTCCTCGGTCACAACACTAGAAAACAGTGTACTCAGGATTCTTGCCAGTTTTGCTGATTCATAAAAAGTGCTGCCCATTCATTATTTTAACCAACAATACGAGCGAATTACTAAATTACTGCTATTGAACTTTTCTATGAAAAGAGAGACCATTAATGAAGGAGGGGCACTGCTTAATTACTCTTCTATCTTCACTCCCCAAGTACTCCTGTAATAATTGTATCTAGAAAAATAATATAATTTACAATGTCATACTTGTAGTTATATGAAGAGAACATTTAAAAATATGTTAGTCATTCTAATAGCTGGTTTCTTTATGATGAAGCAATACAGAATATTCCCAGAGCTTGTGCAATATTGAATCTAATATTCATGTTAATAACTATTCTCTTAGCCTTCCTTAAATGTAGTTAAGCATATTTTCTAAGGCTTCTGTGATAAGATACCAAATTTTGAAGAATGGGGACATGGGCAAAGATACTGGTCTTCACATGGATGCCAAAATCATCCAGTTTCACATAGGTGTGTACATTTTGGTCTTGGGAATTAAATGTTTGTCCCCTACAAAAACTCATGTTGTGATTTAATTACCATTGTAATGATATTAGGTGATGGAGCCTTCAAGAGGTTCTTAGGCCATGAGAATTCAACCTTTCAAGTGGTTTTAATGCTTGAATAAAAGGATTTTAAGGAATGAGCTCCCTTTCTTTCTTCCTCTCTCTATTTAACCAAGAGATGATGTAACAAGAAGTCACTTCTCAGACACTGGCACCTTGATATTGGATTTTGCAGTCTACAGAACTGTAAGTCAATGAAGTTCTGCTTACTAAAAATTTTCTACTTTCAGATAGTCTTTTTTAAAAAGTGTATTTGTTTGGGGGCCAGCACCATGGCATACTAGGTTAATCTTCTGCCTGCAGTGCCAGCATCCCATATGGGCGCCAGGTGCTAGTCCTGGTTGCTCCTCTTCCAGTCCAGCTCTCTGCTGTGGCCCGGGAAAGTAGTGGAGGATAGCCCAAGTGCTTGGGCCCCTGTAGCCTCATGGGAGACTGGGAAGAGACATCTGGCTCCTGGCTTCGGATCAACACAGCTCCGGCTGTAGTGGCCATTTGAGGAGTGAACCATAGGATGGAAGACCTTTCTTTCTGTCTCTCTTTCTCACTATCTGTAACTCTACCTGTCAAATAAATAAATTTTAAAAATCTTAAAAAATGCATTTGTTTCTTTATTCATTTAAAAGGCAAAATGAGAATGGGGCAGACAGAGAAAGATTATCCACCCACAGATTCACTCCCTAATTGGCAGCAAAAGCTAGGGTTGGCCCAAGACAGAGCCAGGAGCCTGAAACACCATCTAGGTCTCCTATGTGGTTGACAAGGGCCAAATTACTTGGCCATCTTCCACTGCCTTCCCCCACACATTGGCAGGGAGCTAGATTGGAAGTGGAGTAGCCAAGACTCAAACTGCTGCTCCAATGTAGGGTACTAGCATTGTAGGTGGCAGTTTAACCCACTGCGCCACAATGCTGAACTCTAAGTAGTCTATTACAGCAGTACAAATTGGGCTAAGACCCTTGGTCATCTAATGGTTCTGTAACAATTCACTTTTTGTATGTTCCACTAGCTGGCACCCTTTTGTAGGTCTCTAACAAAGGATTGGGAATATAAAATGCCTTTAAAGAATTCCTAAAAGGATGGAAATGTGAGCTAATGAATGAAGGCACATAACAAAGGAAGAAGGAATCAATCAATCAGTCAGTCAACATAATAGTACTAACATTCTTTTCCTACTTTTCCATTTTGTATACAATTGATCCTGCAGGACACTGAAAAATGACTTCATGAAATCTAGACATACTTTGTTCAAAACAAATTTGAAATGTGCCATTCATTTTGAAAATAAACTTCATCATAGTATAGTCTTTCAGGAAAAATTGATTTAACATTTTTAAAGTAATGTTTACATAGGATCTTTGTTCTGCAAATTCTTAGAGAGCTGTATTGCATCTAATTGCAGGAAAATGAATCAGTAACACAAGGATTAAATTGTCATGTGTTAAGTGTGTTTTTATAAAAAAAATCAACTGGCAATGCAGAGCTTGTATGTTTCCCAAACACAAATGTTTGAAAAATATTTTGAGTTATTTGACAAACACCTAACAGAGCCAGATCCTTAGTAAAAGAGGACTAACACTGAAATCACAGCAATGGCACCTCTGCAGTTAGGGTCACTCTGCAAATGGTACAACAGAACTCGGGGCTGCTTCAGTCCTGGCATCAGAAACAGGTGAAAGAGGAGCACAGCTCATTTCACAGCTCTCATTTGAAAGTGCATATGTATCACTCCATTGCTATGTTAGGAAATGATTTTCACATAATGTAGGTCTGGCATTTGTTAATGTTTCTTTTGTCATCAAGAGGCATCCGATGAATCCAAAATGATGAGCCTCTCAGGAATACACAGAACTGCTACCAACACATACACACAGAGTCATCAAATACCACATGATGCCCAAGTCTCAATCAAGCATAGGCATAGTTACAAGCAGCCTCTCCTGGCACAGAATGCTGTCCACCACTTTATAATCACACACAACCCATCTGTACTCAACTACGGGTCTTTCCAAGGTACACTACCATAGTAACTGTAGTGCTTATGCATTTCTTTAACATTTAACATGTATACAACCATACCATTTTGATCAGGTCCTGATAGGTATTTTATGTGATACTGATGACATTTTGTGTATTGTGCCCCAGTCTTACTTAATCCCTTAGCTTTTTCTTTATAAGGTGTCTGTTGTGTAACCAACAAGTTATTTTCCCTAACATGTTTGTTCTGTTGTTTCCTTGTAGATATTTTAGGTCAACTCAATCATTTGAATATGGAATTTAACTTTTACCTTTTACTAATACAGTCCTTAGATAAAAATGTAAACTGCTAAGATCATCATAGAGTAATCAAAATGGAAGTGTCCTCATCATTTCATCTCAATTGATGAGAACAAATAGTTATAAGGCTCCACTTTGTGCTTGTCCCTGGAGTGGCACTGAGGATAGAGTTGAGCTTAACAGGGTCTCAGATCTTAAGAAGCTTCCAAACCATGGAAGAAATGGGAACATGTAATGAACTATAGAAATGATCCCTGAAAATATATCTTGCGGGATACACAGCAGACACATAGAATGGCAGATGTCCTAAACAGCACTCTGGCCTCAGAATCAGCCCTTAAGGCATGTGGATCTGGCTGAAGAGCCCATGAGAGTATTTTAGGCATGGAAAGCCAAGACACTCTGGCAAAAAAACAAACAAACAAACAAAAAACAAAAAACAAAAAAAAACAAACCTAAATGAAAGATCTCTGCGAGTGAGATCCCAGTAGAAAAAATGAGCCATCAAAGAAGGAGGTACCTTTCTCTGAAGGGAGGAGAAAACTTCCACTTTGACTATGACCTTGTCTAAATAAGATCGAAGTCGGCAAACTCAAAAGGCTTCCAGAGTCTTGGCAACTCATGACTAGAGCCTAGGGAGATTACTGATGCCATAAACAAGAGTGTCAAATTGTTAATTCAACAACAGGAGTTACCATGTACTTATTCCTCATGTAGGATCTCTGTCCTTAATGTGTTGTCCAATGTGAATTAATGCTATAACTAGTACTCAAACAGTACTTTACACTTTATGTTCTGTGTGGGTGCAAACTGATGAAATCTTTACTTAATATATACTGAATCGATCTTCTTTATATAAAGGTAATTGAAAATGAATCTTGATGTGAATGGAATGGGAGAGGGAACGGGAGATGGGAGGGATGTGGGTGGGAGGGAAATTATGGGGGGGGGAAGCCATTGTAATCCATAAACTGTACTTTGGAAATTTATATTTACTAAATAAAAAATTTAAAAAAAAGGAAATGGGAACATGTAAACAAATCAACCAACTGGAAATCTGAGGGTTTTTTTTCCCCCTTCCAGCTCCATGAGCTCATGTGTTGCCTTCTTCCACAGGGTACTGACCTTACTGAGAGTATATGGCCTCTGGCCTCCTGGCAACACTGCCATACTCTGAACTCTGGAATGTGCCTGCCTTGCATGTGAGCCTGTGAGGTTCCACTTTGGAACTTAGCAAATCTGTTGAAGATGATCTATGCTAATGAGAAAGTCCAAAGGAGCTTTTTCAGTGCTTCTCTTCTTATAGACTCTGTCCATGTAACACGGACTTTGGAGAACCTATCTGACCATTGCTTCTGCCCCTGAAAATGTTAAGAATGGGAAGATTTCTATTCAGAGAGGAAGAACAAGTTCCCAGCCCCCAGCATATAGGCGGTCCACTTTGTCATCTCTCTGTGGAGTGAATAACCTATCTAAATTGAGAGTAAACCAGGCATCTTCTCAAATGTCCCTAGTCATTGAAAATCAAGATTTTGTCCAATTAGCCAACATACATCCAAAAATGCATCTTATTTTAGACATGTTCCTGTTTCTTAAAGAAGATGAAAAATGAACCAGCATACATGAGAACAAAATTAGCTTTATTTTGCTTTGTTTGATGAGTTGGGGAAGCCTGAAAAAGTGGAAATTATCCAGAGCTCAAGCTAGGAGATTCCCATCTTAGATTTTTTCCTTCTCTTCACACAGTGACTCCAGGTGATTCACTGAAGTGTACTATCCTCTATTTCCATTGTCTGCAAAATAAAAAGCCACCTCTGCCACATTTAGCCATAGAATGCTTTGAAAGATAGAATAAGAATAGGTGTTAAAAAGCTCCCTTTTAAAATATA